TTTGGATATTAATTATTATTTAATAGTTCTAAACTGTTAAATAAAAAGTTTTACAAAATATTTAATTTATAATGATTTCAAAATAAATAATTTTACTAAACACCTATTTTTAATAGTTTTGATAAAATCAATAACTATTATTTTCAAATCATTATACCAAACAGTCCCTAAAGTGTAAAATAAAAAGTATTTTTATTCTATCTTTAGATAATTTATAAATAATTTTTATTTTTATATATTTTATTTTTAAAAATAAAAAAATTTTATGAAGAGATGAATAATTTAACTTAACAAATAATAATACAATTAAAGTTAAAGTAAACAAATATTTTTTTATTTTAAAATATAAATAAATAACTATAATTTTTAGATAAATTTTAAATAAAAATATTTATTATTCTAATACGCAGGAAGTAGTGTTCATAATAGGCAAAACATGCAGAGCGTCCTCCTTCAACCCCGTCGCATGTGATTCCTGGCGAAACGAGTTGGGATTACCAACATGGAACCTTCGTCTGTTCTCGTTAATTTCTTCTCAAATCTTGTCATTCTAGTTAGCAGAGTGCTTGGTGAAACCTGAAATGTGCATACTCTCTTATAGTCTTATGTTCCTGAAATGTGTTGGGTGATCAACCCGTTTTCGTCCCCAAGTGAGGCCAGGATTGCAACGCAATGTGTCTTTTTCTTTTTCTCCATTAATTACTTTTTATAAAAAGTAATTAATGGAGAAAAAGACTTATGTTCCTGAAATGTGCTGGGTGATCAACCCGTTTTCGCCCCGAAGTGGGGCCCGGTTGCAACGCAATGCGTCTTTTTCTTTTTCTCCAGTATGCGTCTTTTTTTTGGCCGTAAACTAATGAATAAGGAAAGGTTAAAACTCTTTTTTGGTCTTTGAACTATTGTACGGATCCTTGATTTTATTTCTGAACTAAAAAAATCTTTGATTTGGTTCCTACTGTTTATCATTTTTACTCCGATTTGGTCATTCCGTTAAAAATCTAGTGACGTATACTGTTAACTAACAGTAACACGATGACATGTCATCTAATAATCCACGTGGAAGATAATATAGTCAAAAAGTGATGATGTGGAAAAAATAATAATATAAAAAAATATTATGAAAAATAAAATTTAAATTTTTTTTTCTTTTTT